CCCTTGACTTGTCCGTCCTCCCTGGACTGACCTATCCCCTCCCTAACTCCCCACCTAGTGTCACCTTTACTGGCTCCATCCCCGCCTCTTTGACCTATCTGTCTCCTCTCCACCTATCTTCTCCTCTATCCACCTTCTACCCGCCTCCCCCTCTCTCCCTATTTCTTTCAGAATCCCCTTCCCCTGCCCCATTTCTGAAGAAGGGTCTAGGTCCGAAACGTCAGCCTCCCTGCTCCTCTGATGCTGCTTGGCCTGCTGTGTTCATCCAGCTCTACACCTTGTTATCTCAGATTCTCCAGCATCTGCAGTTCCTACTACCACTGCATCTCAGAGTTCCTTCATCCTTTAGATAATGTGGTTCTTTTTCATTCTTCCTGCCAAATGGATGATTTCACATGTTCCCACATTATATTTCATTTGCCACATCTTTGTCCACTCACTCTACCTATCAATATATTTTGTCAAATCCTGTCTCCTATCTTTGTGTCATCAGCAAATTTTGGAATCATATCTCCTGTCCTTTTATTTATATAAATTACCAGTATTTGAGGTACCAGTACCAATCCCTGTGACACACCACTTATTACACCTTGCCAACTTGAAAAAGACCCATTTTACAGTTAATCTCGCTCGCTGTTAGCCAGCTAATCTTTTATCCATGTCCATACTCACTCCCTATCCTTTTACATTTCCCATTGTCAAGTATAGCACAGGGGTGCACAGAACGAAGTTCTTTCTACCACATCTTAGTAATGTGCTTCAGTTCAACACTGTACCCTGTGTGACATTGCTAATATGTGGACTGCTCTAATTTTTAAATGCTCTAATGTTTAAAAATGTATTTTCTATACATTTTTGTCCAAAGTTATAAAATCATTCAGCCCAGCTTAAAACATTCAGTCAAAAAAAATCCTAAACTCTTTATAGCAGCATTCTGTTGTTTCTGAAAAATAAAGATTTGCAAGTTTGTTTTCCCTACTAATTTTTCTCAAAGTCTGTTCCACATGTTAAACAATCTTTGCCTAAAGAAGAATTTGTCTTTATTCCAAAATTTACATTTTATCAGGTGAAATCTTTGTTGGCTTGATCTTAAAGAGTTGACAGGAAAGGCATACCCACTGTTGTTGACTCCTTCCAGCTCTTTAACACTCCGAGCAGTTTGCGTGATTATGTAAAACGGACAATGTTGAATTGGTGACCCACTTCACACCCTTTCCAATTTTTTTCTTCTCCTGACTTAACTGGGAAAGTAAAATGTTGGAGGCTTATAATAGGTCATTAATTCAAACTCACCCACTTTATACCATCATACAAAGTCAAAATACCCCCGATGAGTGTCGAGTCTGCTAAGAATCCTACATCACTTTCAGCTCCATTGATAATTACTAAAATACTATCATGGACTAAATCTGCTACTTAGTTTTTTGTTGTAATTCAATATTTTACATGTGAATGAATTAAATTTTATTTACTTCCCTTGAATTGTATCTGTCATTTTTCCAATTGATGATATATTTTATCCAACTCATTCTGTAATTTCAGGGCAGTTTTCTCCAAATTTACTGCATCTCTTAGCTTGGTTCAATCTGACGATCAGTCACTTTGCATTCAGTTTCTGAATTCAGGCCATTTATGTAAATTAAAAATAGCACTAATCTCAACACCAGTCTCTGTCCAAACTAGCATAGTTCTTTCTGCAATCACTCATTTTTCTGACTCTTTGGTCAATGATTTACCTAATCCCAGGGTTTACTCTGGATCACCAGCATATCAAGTTTGATTAGCGGGGTCTTTGCACAATTACATCAAATATCTTTTAGAAGACAATATAGGACTTTCCACAGTTGACTTAAGTTGTCACTTCATTGACAAAATTGAGGGTGTATGTCAGGCAGAATCACATCCTTCTGAATGTTTGTTTACTAAATTATTGTAATGATCAGCATCAAATTCCATTCTGATATCAATCTATTATTATTTTATTTTGAATTAAATAGATCTATAGTTGTGCCTCTGTTTTCAAATACAGACATTAGGTTACCCTGCTTTCAATTTTCTGCTGCCTCATTACTACCTAGTGTCTCCCTGTTTGTGTTAGATAAATCCCCTTTCTGGTCTTGCACAGCCCTCTGAGATAAACAATCATCCATCTCTGAGGACAGATATACTTTGTGCTCTTTTAGCCTGTCTAAAAAGTACAACTTTATTTATTTGAAGTGATAGATTTTGCTTAGACTATTCCTATTTTGGAAGCACATATTGTCCTATCTGAATAGTTTAAAGGAAGGAGTCAGTCAGAATGTTTATGACTTGTGTTCATGTTCAGTTTCAAACCTGTTTACAGATGTTGAAGTTATCAACAACAAATCACATTAAAATAACATCTCTAACACAGCAAAACATTTCAAAGCACTTCCCTGTCCTCTTACAGATATTTAATTTAGATAGAAAATTAGTAAATGAAAAAACATTTAATTTCACTAATGTACCAAGCTGCTGCCTCTATAAATTTTATCGAGCTTTCCCTTTGTACCTCTGACTTCTCTGGCACTATCTTTTAGATTTTGCCTAAATATTAATTCCAGTTTATTTTCCTTTCAACATTATTTATTGTGCTTGTTCTTGAATTTGTTTATTAATCTATTCAAGGTCACATTGTTTAGCTTGTTGATAACCAGGAATGTAACTAACTTTCATGCTCAGCATTATATCTTTAAAAGGAGTTCCACTTGACCTCTGCTGAAGTGCTGTTTCATGACCTCTCCAAAATTGGTGTGTTAGTTAGTTTCTTCAAATTGAGCCCTTTGATGGTCATTTACAATTCCCTTACCCATGTATTTCACTTCATGTTGAACTTGAAACTTCTGTACTCACTATTCTACAACGGGTATAATAACAGCAATGTTTATTTAACAATCAAAATACTGCAGATGCTGGAAATCTCAAATATAATCCAAAAATGCTGAAAGCACACAGCCTGTCAGATAGTAACTTCAGAGAGAAAAACAGCATTGATATTTCAGGTCTGTGAACTTTGAACGGCCACAAACCTGAAAGTCTACTGTTTTTTTTCTCTTGAGACCTGACTCTCAACTGTCTAGAGTGTTAACTCCTGTCAGATTGAGATAAACACTGTCTTTAGGTTTCCAGTAATACAGTAGAACAAGAAGCAGATATACATTACATTTACCAATGCAAAACTTGAAGTCAGGGGTAGATGAAAGTATTCCATTGAAATAAAACTTCCCTGTTCTCACATACCCCTTCCATCTCTTCATTGTACAAATTACCTAGCCTTCTGGAGATGTGTAACAAACTGCTCATGGCAGCTTTAATGAATTTCACTTTTGGGATGTTGAGCCTGAATAATGTCATTAAGAGACTTTCTCCCTTTGACAGAGCTATTTCAGAAATGAAAGCAGCCTATAGTCCAGTTGTGAGGACTGTGTAGATGCACAGGAAATCCCCAGTCTCTTTGATGAGGGTTTATTGCTAGCTGCAATACATTTCCAATCCAAGTTTATTGCTGGCTTGGTCCACAAACAGGAAATGGGCACTTATTGCTTACAAGGGCACCAGCTAAAAACGCACCAAAGTATGTTATCAGTAACAACTTCCCATTGGATTCATGAGCCTTTGTTGTTTTGCTCATGGGGTTGGGGTGTAAAGTCCTGAGGGCTGTACCCAGTGTAAAGTCAAGAGACTGCCCGACTTGAGAGAAATCCTTATCTAGCAGGTCTGAGCTGGTTGCCAGGCTGTAGTTAAAGGGGCCCGAGTATTTGAAATTCTACTGGCAACCACGAAGTGTGATTTAGCATTTTGACCAGGTTATCAGTGTAAGGCACATGGAGTCAAAGAGATGTACAGCATGGAAACAGACCCCTCGGTCCAACTTGTCCATGCTGACAGATATCCTAAATTAATCTAGTCCCATTTGCCAACATCTCAGCCCTGTCCACAAAGAATCAGTTTGGCAGGAAATTCAAGAAATTCCGGTGTCTGTGATACAGAATCATGCTCCATGTCGGGAGGGAACTGTCCCCTTCGCAGTAAAACCGACTGGTGGCAGAAAAAGGAAGGAGTACATTTCTACCATGCAGATCCTGCGAACCAGCCATGAGTGGGGGGTAGGGGCGAGGGGGGAGGGGGGAGGGGGGAATGGGGGGTGGCAGGTGGTCAATGAAATGATATGGGACAGAAAAACATCAGGTTAAGTGGGTCGAGATGCTACATGGTTCTAGATAATCTGACACCAAGCAGTTTACACGGTCTCTGTTGTCCATCAGGGTTCACCCAATTTAGAAGTGCTATCATTGAAAGTGAAAAGGTTTTTTTCGCCCCCAATGCATACTCAACATGGGCCAGGTCAACATCTGGCACACATCCTGTTCCTTGCAGTGCCTGCTGGATGCCACCCACTTCTCTGAAGTGGCACCAAAGTCTCCTCTGACCCAGGGAGAGGAAAGCACAGAGTGGGAGACAGCAAATCAGACAGCCCAGGGGTGGGGGGAGGGGGGGGGGGTGATATCAAACAACTCCCTTCCCCATATCCCTCTCTGCATGACTCCCTCCCTTCCTTCAACATGTCTCCCCCTCCTTCCCTGCCCACCTCCCCTGCCCCCTCATCCCACCACCCTCCTCCCCTCCACATTTCCTCACGACCCTTCCATCCTCATCTCCCCTCCCTTTCCCAAAACCCTCTTTCCCCACGGCCCCTTCCAGCGGGGAAGAGGGAGAAACAGCTGGAACTTTGTTCTCTGAACGTTGCAGCAGCGAGTGCGGGGAGAGTTCCGGCTCCTTTAACCGAGAAAGCTATTGAAATGCCTCAATCCCAGTGAAGCGGTGTCATTTCCGATCTCCTTCTCTGCTGCCTCCCAACCGGGCGGTGTATCTGAACGGAATCAGAGCCCAAACAGGGGGAGAGAGAGAATCCTCACCAGGTGATGTGAAACTCTGAACTATCCACACTTCACAAAATAATCAAGTTATCTTTCACAAACCGCCTATTCTGGGTCACAGCGAGAGCTGTCTCTGGGTCAGGAGGAGTGAAGTTGTCAAGAACGAAATTTCAGGTGTAGATCACTTTCCTCATTCCGCCCCCACCCTGGACCAGGATGAAGACTGGGGTTCACTCCCATTCTAAGGGCTCTCTAACCCAGCCTTGGAGAGGGAATAACTCCCCACCCCGCCACCCGGTCTGAGGAACTGACCATAAATAACATCAATGCCATTCTAGCCGCCCAGTCCCACCAATACACACGCCCTGCACTTTTATACATTGAGAAACTTGACATATTACTGAGATTTGTCTTCAGCTTCTAAAATAGAACTTCTTTCTCAAATGACTAGATTTGAACCAGCACCCTCCCCTCAGATGCGCCCTGGCTCACCTGTGCATAGGAAGATCCAACCGGCCAGCAGGAGGGACTGCAGACTGGTGCCCCGGAGTGTGAGCATGGCGGCTTGCAGCTCCGGACTCTGTCTCTCTCTGCTCATATTCCAACCAGCAACACAGCGGCGCTGGAGTCTCTGAGGGACCGTGCAAACCTCCCGGGGCACATTTCAAAGTGGAGCCGGCTTCCCGTGCCGCTGTGCCGGCGAGTGGAGCTGTTTCCGCCCCGTGCACTCGGGCTAAGAGTTAGAGCTGGAGCAGAGTGAGAGAGCTCTGCAGTGCACTCTGTCTACATTTATTTTGGGTTGAACTCGAGATACAGCGTCACCGCGAACCTGGCACGGTGCCTGCCTGCAAAAGAGAAACAAAACTTAAAAGCTTTGAACAAACCCAAAGTTTAAGCATCTCATCACCCGCAGGAATGAAAGCTAAGGTCTCCCATAGTCCAACGTCCTCACTTCTTACACCTTCAATAACCTCCCAATCACAGAATCAGAAAAGGAGCAGGCCAATCGGCCCCTCGTTTCTACTCCACCAGGTTCATTTACGAAAGCTTGTGTTTTCAAATAAACCTGTTGGACTGTAACCTGGTGTCATGTGATTTCTGACCTTGTCCACCCCAGTCCAACACCGGCACCTCCACATCATTGACAACAAGGTGCAGGGCTGGATGAACACAGCAGGCCAAGCAGCATCATAGGAGCAGAGAGGCACCTCCACATCATTGCTTATCCAATGGTGGAGTAGTCAATCTTATTGTGGCTTCCACTGTCACACTTTCTCCTGTTTAGCCCTGATAAGTCCTAGACTCCTTTGTTGGGATGCTTATTATTAGACTATGTCCCAAGTACTAGTCCATGCCATGAGGGGGAACGTCCTGTCAGCATCTATTCTGTCCAGTTCCCTCAGAATCTTACATGTTTCACCTAGATTGTTTTGTATTCTTCTAAACTCCAATGGATCAAGGTTCCAGCTGTCCAGCCTTTCCTCGTAAGACACCATACTCCCCCTCCCACTCCCCCCCATCCTGGAATTAGAGGAGTGAATCTTTCAGTCCACTTGCTGTTTATTGGTTGGTGCAGGTGCCCAAACTATTTAAACAGGTAGTTACATAGGTCAATATGGCCTTAGTATGGAGAGTGCAACAACTCTCAAATTAAGTGTAATGTAACAGCTGTGGAAACATGAATGAGTGAGGGGACAGTGTGGAAAGGGAGATCTGAAGGTTTTACTGTATGTTAAATGCAACTATTAGAGGTTTGCTGGTCTGGAGAGTCTCAGAGATTCATTTATTGGTACAGCACCTGTTTGGCATGTAGACCAAGTCCAGACAGCCCAATAAGGTGGCACAATGCACACACAGACACGGACACCATGATAGAACACACTGCATGCTATATTGACAAGGGTAGAAAAAAAGGTGTCAAGAACTGATGACTGAAATTGGCTTTTGATCTTTGGACTATTTAAATAAAGGGTCTACTGCCAATTGTAGTCTCCTTTTATAAAGTTGCTGTGGCCCAATTGCAGCCAGCTGCATGGTTCCTATGTTATCTAACTAAAGGACAAAGGACAATGGGAGACCAGCATTGAACAGGTCAAAGTGCTCCCACTTCTATTGTAGTGCTGAAGACTTCTGTTCACATCCTACTCTCAAACTTCTTGAGCAGTCCATTCCTCTCGATTGCTGTTCCTTATTACCAGTCACCCATACTGAGGGCTGCTACTAGTGTGGAATTGACCTGAAATCCAACACTAATTCACTGGCAGATCCTCCTGCAGATGACCAGCATTTTTGCTCTGCTTGGTGCTCTAATTTCAAAGAGAGCTCAAGCCCAATATTCAGTGTCGCTTGTGCTCACCTCGTTGCAAGCAGGAATCATTCCTTGAGACATGGCTTGAACCCATTTCTAGACCTGTTGGTGGGTATTCTGTGAGAAATGGAAGACTGAGATGGCATGATGCTCCTGACGGAGAGATCTAAGCCCAGGGTCTGATATTGTTTGCGGAAGTAAACAGTAAGATAATATGATTACTACATGTGGGAATTTATTTTGTTCAATGTTTATTCACAAAATGAATTAGAAAAGGAATTGTATGTATTTGGGTTCTGTTTTAAAGACAAGTTATATTTGCACAAATTAGTGAAAATGCCATTGACATGAAATAAACATAACTAAAATGCTATTAAGAAAGTCCGGATAAATATAAATGATAAAACCCATTATCTTGCTTGGTAATCCATGAACATCCCACAATTAATGTGGAGATTTTTGTTTAAAAATGTGATTGACCTTGTGTATCTTTGCCTCTTTCTTACTATACCTCCTTGTGTTAGAAAAGAGGACTTCCCATTTGAACACTTAGAATGTTGATCAGGAAGGTGATTTTAGGACAGCAGTTTGCTGACTGCAACCGTAATTCAGAGATTTAGTGAATATATTTATTAATCCATTAGCACACAGTTTGACTCCAGTTTGAAAAAAATACTGGATTCCATTAATGGAAGGACAGAACACATATACAAAAGGTTGTTTAATTGCTGTACAGGATACAGGCAATATATTACTGCCTCTGTGAAAATACAGAAGGGAACAACAAAGTTTATTCTGAAGGGAAAAGAAACAGGAAATATTAAGGAAGTTATTTCTGTTGTGAAAAAGGAATCTTTAAGGACTTCTCTATATAAAAAAATTTACAACATCTTAAAAGATTATTTCACAAATTATTAATCAGGATGGAAACCAAATCAAAAAATGAGACAACAGAAGGGCTATATAAGTTTATGAACAATGAACCACAGCTAAATACCCTCCAGGTGCACACAATAATATCTCACACAAAACCATGTGGAGAGGCAAAAAAAAAGCAGAGAAAGACCAGGCCAATTTGGGGAAATAAAATCAGGGAAATTGCTCTCAGGCTCTTGGAGATGATTGAAGCCAGTCCAGAAGACCATTCTGACCCCAGACGTCCTGCAGTGTCTGCCTTTTTTTTGTGAGAAAAAGGTTAAGATCGTACTTGAAGGAATCCAGTGAGTTGCTACCCGCTATCCAATTTGACGGCTTGCTCTAGAGATTCACTATTCTCTGGAAAAAAACCACCTCCTGACAGTTAACCTCAATTTGACCTTTTACAGCTTAAAATTCTGATTCGACCTTATACAACAAATTCTGACTCTTGTTCCTCCCTAATCTATTTCGTTGGAAGCTGTCACTGGAATGTAATCGATTTGCTTCATTATTTGCTAAACCTCAAGTAGATCACCTATAATTCTACACCTCCAAAGTATAGAGTTTTTCAAAATGTAGAGTTCTAACCCACCTTGATCACCAAGATGTTTAATACTGGGAATTTGTCCTGTGACCCTTCACTGCACACTTTCCAAAGTATCAAATCACCTACTGCCTGAAACTAGATTTGGGATTCCGAATCCATACTGGCCAAAGTAACATACAAGGACAAAATAACATCCCTTCATTTATAATCAATTCTCCAATGAATGCACTTCAACACCTTACGCAAAGCAACTATCAGTTTGTGGCATTGTTCATATATCTTTAAAGATGATGCACTTGGAAGCTTAGGTCTCTTTCTTTCTTGATTTTCTTTAATGCTTTTCCCTGAAGGCTATACATGTGCTCAGCATTCGCCCTGCACATATGTCAAATATGCCACTTCCCAAAATAAATGTTACTTGCCAGCTCAATCTCCCAAAATGTTAAGATCTGCCTGAAGACATTAAGAATTGTCTACAGTCTGAATTCACATAAAGATCAGCATCATCTGCCAATTTGGAGATTATGTCACCTACTTACTAGTAACTTACGAGTTACTAGTAAAAATAGTAAGGAGCAGTAGTCTTAACACTGATCCCTGCAGGACTTCCTAATGATGGATCTCCAACAGATCCAAAGTTATTTAATCTATCTTCTGCTTCTGGCCTGTCTGCCAGCTCTCAATCCAGCTCAATGTAGTAGCTTTAAAACCAGAGGAGTTAATTTTGTAGACAAAACTCTTCTGCAATGTCTTACAAAATCTTTTTGGAAGTCGATGGAGACAATACCAACTGGTCTTCCCTCATCTGTCATCTTTGTGCTTGTTTAGAAAACACAATCAGTTTTGAGAGATCTGACCATTTATCAGTTGGATGTTCCTCTTAATCCAAATAATCCAATATTGAAACAAAAAATATTTAAAAGCTGGAAAAAGAAACATGTCCCTTTGGTTGCTCGCAAGAGACAGAATATTGACTGTACTCAGCCAGCCTGTGCTTGCAAAACTCAGAAGCTAGTGTCAAACATTAGATGTGATTACCGATTGGACAGCACTTGCTAAATAATCCCAACTTTTAAAATAATTACATTAGTAATCAATTTAAGATTATCATCTGGGCTTGCAATGTGACTCACTATTATATGCTAGAAGCTGAACCCTGGGCTCAGTCACAGAATCATACAGCATGGAAACAGACCATTCATCCAACTTGTTCATGCTGACCAGATATCCTAAACTGATCTAGACCCATTTGCCAGCAATTGGCCCATATCCCTCTAGACTCTTCCTATTCAAATACTCACCTGGATGCCTTTTAAATGTTGTCATCATACCAGCCTCTACCACTTCCTCTTGCCACTTGTTCCATTCACGCACCACCTTCTGAGTTAATCTCGCCACCCTTTAAAGAAGATTTGCATTAGTTTCCTTTCATTCTACAGGAACCCTTCCAGATGCAGTAAGCATATGGTAGTTTGCTAGGGACAGTTATTGTTGACAGAACTAAGAGTGTATCTAAATAGGGATGTGTGTGGGGGTCAGTGTATGTTGAGAAATGCATGGGTGAGGGTATATGCTGGAGCTGGAATGTGCCTTTAAACTGGTAAAGTTCTGACACAATTCAGTCTCAATCAGGGTATATCCATTGTACAACTTTTAGACTACCAAAGCACTTCAAAACAAGATCCATAAATATCAATAATTAATCTGTTGGCATCTGAATAGTTGACACAGGTGCTTTTGTTGACTTGCTTTTTTATTGCACACCCTGTTTTATATGAAAGGAACTGTTCCACTGACTCTGAAAGAGTCTTGTCAAGTAGGAGGATACACTTCTCATGAATGTAAAGATGGTGAAGGAACAGAGCTTGTTCTAACTCAAACACTTTCATCCACCTCTCCCCATTTCTCTCACCCTGAATCTATCAATTTTTTGCTTCAGTGAACACTCAGAGCTAATTGACTGAAGAGTTTAATGAAAAGACTCCTTTATTTAAATTCAAAAAGTGAATTCTCTTAGCGCAAGTTGGAGTATTTTGTACCCCGTGATTATGTGAACACTTTGCACTTTATTTCTTGAATGCCGGGCATTATGAGAACTGGATTCACTGGTCAAAGAATACAATGAGGGTCAGGAAAGGC